CCGACCTACTTGTGGTTTAAGTCCCTCCCACTTGGAGGTCACCAAGACTACCTGCAGTGTAATCCCTCTAACTTGAAGGTCTCTGGGCTGCAGCAATACCTATTTGCGCTGTCCAGGACCAAGTTTGGGCACCCAACATCTCCTATATTTTTTTCTCCATCCCAACTACATCAAAGACACAGGTGTTATTAATATTATTTGTTTTGACCTAATTTTCAGATGCTGGCCGTTACCCAACTCTCCCCTCTCTACATTGGTTCAGTAGGCCTGATGAGATCCATGCCAATTTTCTTGAAGGTGGTCCCCAGTTAGCGGTAAAGGGATTGAAGCTGCTTTTGGGCAACCCAGTAGGTTTATTATCTGACTTTCACATTGTGAATGCCCAGCCAAAATATTTGGTTATTAAAACAGTTTAAGGTGGTCGCTTGACCTAAATGTCTGGCCATAGGATTTGAATAAGCTTCCTGGAAATGTATTTTGTGGCTGCTTTTAGGAAATAATAACTGGGTTACAATCTAGTAAGAGGTTTAAGAAGTTTCTTAATAATCTCTTTTTAGTGTCTTGGGTCACTTAATATAACTTTGAATAATAACAAAATAAGGGGAGGTGAGCGGTCAATCGGGCTGTAGTCCTCATTCCCAGAATTAGTGGATGTTTTAGGTGATGACTAACTGCCACCTCGACACTGTGTTTGACCCCGAAATTAAAAATCTAAAGCCAAAATAGTGTAAAACAGTAGAAAGTGAACTATATTCCTGTGCACACACCACACCCGATCTGTGCCACTCTCCTTCTATGAAATGTTTTTGCATCAGGCTTTGATGGATGAAGGTTTGATTACACCCCTAATCCACTAAGGCCTTATCCTCCAAATACTCACCGGTCTCTAATATAACCCATCATTATCTTAAAACATCATGAACTTTAGAGAGTTTAACCTCTGTGATGTTCAGTTAAGAGGAGGGACAGATATTAAACAGCGTTAACCACAAAAAGCCTGCCACTGTAAAGGAGAAGTGCATGAGTTAAAATAGTCAGTCCATCAGTCGCTGTTGATCGGCTGCTCTTCAACACGGTAAGACAAACACACTGGTATTTGACTGATGATTAGTGTAGATGAAGCTCATATAACACATGATTTGTGACATGAGAAATATCTTGTGTTGATCTCAGTCATCAGTTGATTTACACACACTGATGTTGTGCATTAATAATCTGCAGATGTGTAAAGATCTTCCTAACACTAAGAGCTGTTTAGGGTGATGTACATTTACTGTTGATGAGTGTAGAAGTGATGATTAATGCTGGATTCTAGATAGATTTGATGCTGATGTGGCTCAGAATGGCTCCTGCTCTTCATCTGATCTTTCTGCTCATCATTCACAGTGAGTCAATCTTACATTCACATCACTGCTTTATTTATTCAGCAGGTTTCTGATAATCTTCTCTCTGATATAGGAAGTTAGGCTGTGCTGGAGGATCTGTTTTCTCAGAAGAGAGTCTGTAGTTAAATTAAACCCGCCTGCTTTTGCAGTTATTTTCACACCATTGGTTTAAGCTGATGCACTGAGAGCTGGCTAAATCTTCCTAGTGACAACAGTCAATGTCTTGTGTTCATTTTAGTACATTGGAACACAATAAAAAGCGACTTTTGACAGCTAGACAATAATAGTGTTCTTTAACATCAGCTTGGCTTGTCCTGGGAATAAATGGTGAAAATTCATATGAAAATTCAAAACACTTACTGTCTCAATATGAATATTGATGGACACTTTTATTTCAGAACACAACTGCAACATTTATGGAAATAGTAAAATAAACAAGAGTCTTGAAAGGAACTTTTCAAAAACAGGACATAAATTATAATACTTGCTTTATTTATATAGCACAGTTCAAAACAACACATTGACCAAATATAATGTGCTAACATGTAAACTAAATCAAGAACTGACCTTAACTATAACATGAGTTTTCATTTTTGAGTGTATTATCCCTTTAAAGGGCACCTATGATGAAAATATATTTTGTAAGCAGTTTGGACAGATCTGTCTACAGTCATATTGGGGTGATATAAAGACAATAGGTCTCTTTTTTAATTTTCTGACATTTATATAGGATCCAAATCCCTCCCCCTTTTGAGGCCCACCTCAGCGTGACGTAGGAGTGTGGTTTCCCCGCCCACAGAATTGATTGACAACCGCGTATTAACATGTCTCCGTTGTAGTGTGTATAATCATATCAACAAGACAGAACATGCGCAAAGCAACCAGGATTTAAAAAATATGTTGAGCTCTCTGTGATCATCTACACTAGGGTTGGGTATCGTTTGGTTTTTTTTCGATACCGGTGCTAAATCGATACTTTTAAAACGATAAAGGTGCCAAAACGGTGCCTGAACCGATACTTTTTAGCCACAAAATGATGGTGGATACCTCTACAAAAATATTTTATTTGAAAAAATATTTACATACAGTATATTTTTGATTTACACAACAAATCAGTTACAAAATAATTTGACTAATTATTTTAACTTTTGTAGTTAACTGATTAAGTTTAAATTACTCTTTAATCTGAATAAAAGACCATAAAATACCTAAAGGGACTTTATCTGAATACAACTGTCTTGCAAAATAACTAGTAAAATGTTCTGCACTGACTGTCATGGGGGGGAAGAGAAAACAGTAGATATTAGAAATGAGTTACTTAAACTATTATGTTTAAAAATGTGTCGTAAATAAATCCTGTGTTGAAGACGGAAATAAGAAATGAATGACTTCCTATATTAAGTTAAAATCCCTTTTGAAAACAGAAGTCTAATATCATCAACGGTAAACATTTTGATAGTGTTTCACAACAAGAATTTGACTGAAGTTTAATCCTTTTATTACCGGAGTCAATATGGGCGTCAACTTCTGACGAATGCGAGGAACTGATGCGCGTAGCACCTTCACAGAGATAGCAAGTGCCGCGTAAACAGAGGGAGCGAGCATAAGCGAGTGCCGGAGGAACGATTGCTCATGTCACCTAAAGCACGCGAGAAAGGCTCTGCCTTTGAGCCCCCAAATGTGTCATTAGGTTTGACATGTTTCCCCCTTACACGCAACTTTGGTAATCACAGTTGCTGTGTAGGAATCATTGCTTGTAAACTACGCTTTAGAATGCTTAGTTTAAGCAAATTTGATGAACGTGATCACGCGTGTTGATCTCAGTGTTGCTCTCGCTCACCGAAAACTGCTAGCTGAATGCGCTGTACTGCGCACGTTGCATGCGTCTGTTCCCTAGCGACAATAACAATCTTGATATCGCCTATCCGTATTCCTCAAAGTTGTTTAGTATTAAATGTTTAGTGATGCTCTGACACAACGCCTATGTGTGCCTTTTTTCATGCACCCCTTACGTCCTTGCTGCAGCAACAAAATTAGGCACCGAAATTCATACGCTGATTTAATACCGATACATACTGGTTACCAAGGTACCGGTGCTATATTGGCACCGGGTTTCGGTACCCAACCCTAATCTACACCCAAGAGAATGATTTTTTCAAGTTTAAGTGAAGTTTCGAGAGAATCACATGCTTATGATTGACTACAGCTGGTCCCGCATCAGCCACACATATCTCGCCAATCAGATGAATACTAACTCACTATATATAACCAGTTTTCCACTTCAGTCATCTTCATCTTGAAGAATCCCCCCCCCATCCCCTTCTCCTTATAGGGCGGGGGCCTCACAGCAAGAGTGCCATTGGTTCGAGCCCTCACTGGGCCAATCACCGTTTCTGTGCAAAGTTTGCATGTTCTCCCTGTGCTTACGTCTCGCGTGGGATTTCCCTGGGTACCCTGGTTTCCTTCCACCGTCCAAAGACATACCATATAAGTAAATTGACTAATCCAAAATGGCATCATAGATAAACTCTTAGTCAGCTATCTCTCATAGCTAGTCTTAACACTTTCAAAAGCAGGGGAGTTCTCGAGGCCTACCTGAGCTTAATCTCCCATCTCGTCCTGCAAATGGGAGGGAGCCCAGGGCTCGAGGATATTCTGAGCTCAGGTCTCTCTCTCGGGACAGCATGCCAAACACACTTTGTTATCAATCATCAGCTAACTGTAAACTCTTGAAAACATTTTTAAAACAGTGCATGTTTGTAATAAAGTAGAGACAGTATGTGTATGAACATTGTAAAGACATTTGAACATCGTGTGTGACTCATTGTTGCAGAAAGGCTTGAATTAACTCCACAACAAATACATCAAATAATCATTGGGAAAATTCTTACTGTAGAATTTCTCACAAGCGTTACGTAAGATTTGCATCCTTCATGTCTTTCACTGAGATGCTTATCTGCAGCAGGAGATGGAGACACACATCTCTGTGGCTCTGACGGGACGTTGGAATGGTGGGTGGGGAGAACCAATTTGCATTAAAGGCACAGGCAACAATAAAACTGCTATAGTTCAAAGCTGAATATTTTAAACTTTTGAAAGCTCTAATAAATAATCTGAAGTGTTTTTTGAGCTGAAACTTTACAGAGACATTCTGGAGACACAAAATACTTCTTTTTAATCTTGAAAAAGCAGTAAAATAATTGCCCTTTAATAATACATTCTCATTAAATATGATACATTTACCTTAATCACAAAAAAAAAAAATTAACTAACATACTAACAAAGAAGTAGGTAGTTAAATAACTCATCATTAGTTTATAATAAAAAAAAAACATCATTTACATGTTAGTACATTTTATTTATGTACTGTATTTTTCTTGGCCAGTTATTTTCCATTATTGTGTTATATATTTTTTTCTCGGCTCGTTTATCTTCTCTGTTCTCTTTTTATTTCTGTCTTCCATCAAGACTGAAGTCATTCACACTGAGATCATTATTCATATTCACAAGATCAGCTTAAAATATCATCTGTAATGAGTCTGTTTACAACTAATAAAGCAGCATGTGCTCCTATTGTCTTATAGTCCAGTTTACTGATAAAACTACATTTTCACTATGGTGAAGGTTACGCGTTTGTGCTCGTGCAAACATTAGTAATTAGAAGTTAATAGAGATAATTCAAGAAAAGCAACCCTGTTTTTTTAATGTATGCTCGCCTTTCATGAAATGCTATGTATACTTGATGAGCCACTTGATTGAAACATGCACTTTTTAAATGAAAACTTCAAGTTAAGCCAAAGAGTGACAATTATGTTTAACGTAACACAATCATGTTAAATGAAAAGTAACCACAATGGCAATAATTTAACATGAATTGTTTATGTAAATTATATTTTTTGGTCTGATTATTTAATTATCTTTAATTGTGTTCTGTGTTCAGAAGTGGTCAATCCTGCAGTTATCGCTTTTGGTAGCGTTGCGTGACGTTATATGTTTGTCTGAACAGCTGTTAACAAAATAAAAAAGTGTTTATATGCATCCAGCCTCCATTTTGTTTTTGTACAGAATATATTGATATTCAGACAAAAACTACAATGATATCTGTTTTTCAGGGGTTTCTGGTGCTGACTGGGTTGTGAATTACAAATCTTTACACATCTGTGCACTGAAGAACTCATCAGTGATAATCAGCTGCACTTATAAATACCCTAATGGACATCAGATCATGAAAGTGTACTGGACCAAAAACCCTGTAAAGGATGTAGAGCCTCCAGATCTGTCTGAGGACCCTGAATACAGTCAGAGGCTTCAGTATCTGGGAGATAAAAAGCAGAACTGCACCATCAGACTGAGTCATGTGACAAAGAAAGTTGAACATGAGTACTGTTTTAGATTTACTACTGATAAAGATGGGAAATGGCTTGGCTCTCCAGGAGTGATTCTCTCTGTCACAGGTGACTCTCCTGAGGTTTCTCTCTTCTTGTGGTCATTATGTAGAATAATAATCAGTGTATGAGAGCAGCACTAGATATAATGTGTGTGTTGTGTTCAGATCTTCAGCTGGAGTCTCCTGAGAGAGTGACAGAGGGAGATTCAGTCCGTCTGACATGTAAAAGCAGCTGTAAACTGACTGACACACCAACATTCATCTGGTACAGAAACTCACACACATTGACTAATATTGGAGATGAACTCAACATCAGCTCAGTCAGAAGAGAAGACGCAGGCAGATATAGATGTGCTGTACATGGACACACACTCACATCACCTGACGTCTATCTCAATGTCACCTGTGAGTCCAGATTTATTTTCATTATATAGTTTTATTATTATTATAGGATTTACACATTTTATTTTTATGTGCTTTAGATCCTCCAAAGAGCGTCTCAGTGTCCATCAGTGGGTCTGCTGTAATAATGTCTGGAGATTCAGTGGCTCTGAGCTGCAGCAGTGACTCAAACCCTCCTGCAGAAATCAACTGGTTTAAAGGAGAAACATCAGTAAGATCTGGAAGAATCTTCAGCATCTCCAAGATCAGCTCTGATGACAGTGGAGAATACAAGTGTAGAGCCAGAAATGACCATGGAGTGAAATACTCTGATCCTGTGACTTTAGATGTTCAGTGTGAGTAAATGATGGTTCAGTAACTGATATATTAAATCCTCTAAGTCTGGATTTTAATGCCATGTTTGATGTAATTGATATGAGTGTTTTTTTAGTTTTTTTTTTTTTTTCTGTTTCAGACGCACCCAAGAACATCTCAGTGTCCATCAGTGGATCTGCTGTGATAATGTCTGGAGATTCAGTGACTCTGAGCTGCAGCAGTGACTCAAACCCTCCAGCAGATTTTAGCTGGTTTAAAGGAGAAACATCTGTAAGATCTGGAAGAATCTTCAGCATCTCAAATATCAGCTCTGATGACAGTGGAGAATACAAGTGTAGAGCCAGAAATGAACATGGAGAGAAAAACTCTGATCCTGTGACTTTAGATGTCCAGTGTGAGTTTTTGATTATTCAATTACTGAAACATTACCTCCTATAAATATTAATGTTGTGGATGTTATTAAGTAGATATGAGTGTTTTTTCTTTCTAGACCCACCCAAGAGCATCTCAGTGTCCGTCACTGATTCTGGTCAGCTTTTTTCTGATTCAGTGAGTCTGATGTGCATCAGTGACTCAAACTCTCCTGCTCTGAACTTCAGCTGGTTTAAGGAGAATCAAAGCTCAGCTGTTGGATCTGGACAGAGTTTCAGTGCAGTACAGAGTGGACGCTTCTACTGTGAGGCTCACAATCCACATGGAGCTCAGAGATCAGACGCCATCACTGTCACTGGTGAAGCTTTTATCATCACACTCCTGTAACTTCATCAGTCTGGAGAGTTAATCATGATCTGCTTCATCTTTCAGTTCATCAGCATGCTGAGAGAAACATCATCATCATCACAGCGACATCTGGAGGATTATTCATCTTCATCATCATCCTGTGTTTAATGTGAGATCAATAAAATCACATTTTTTTACAGTTAAAAAAAAATTATTGCTGTATTTAGTGTATTATAAGAGTGATTCATGTCTGTTAATGTGTGTTATTACAACAGAAAGAAACAAAGGAGTGGTGAATCTGAAGGTCTCTCAGTGACGCAGGTACAGTTAATCATGCAGATACAACCTTACAGCGGAAAATCAGACAAACTCATGTTTTTCTTTGTGTTATTCAAATTTCTGGTATATTTACAATTTTAACTTTAAAGTCATCAGCATATCTACATCACATCTGCAGTACGATTCAGTGAGAAAAATCCAGATGCTTTGTATTAAAGGCTCTTATTTTGTTGTGTTTCAGAATGATCTGTATTCTGCTCCTGGATCAGCGGGTGATGCTCTGTATGCCAGTGTAAATCCCAAAAGAGGAAGAGCTGCTGAATGCAGAGATGCTGAGGAGATCCAGTACTCCACTGTCCGATATCACAGAGACACACAGATGAAGAGAGAGGAAGAAGAGGAGCAGCGTCAGTGTGACGACACACCAGTTCAGCAGCCTGATCAAGACCACAGGTGAGGAGAAACTGCTGGACCATCAACAACCGCACTAAATCCCCATGTTGATTCTAGAACATCATTCCTGTTCTAAATTATAATCCAAACCTAATCCCTTTCCCTAAACCTAACCCTAACTGTAAAGTATTTTCCATTATCAGAGTCAATTAATACAGTGTTTCTCTGTTAGGTTTGTATTCAGTGAGCATATCTGTAATGTATTGAGGTCCTAGGCCATTGAGTGATGTATAAACTATTTATAGATAGTAATACTTTAAACTCTATTCTGAATGTAACTGGGAGCCAGTGTAGAGACCTGAGGACAGGTGTGATGAGCTCTGATTTCCTGCTTCTGGTCAGAATCCTGGACGCAGCTTTCTGGATGAGCTGCAACTGTCTGACTATTTATTTGGGGAAGCCTGTGAGGAGGCCGTTACAGTAATCCACCATACTGCTGATAAAACCATGAACAAGTTTCTCACTGGAAACAAAGCATCTAATATGTGCATGTTTTAAAGATGATAGTATGCTGATTTAGACTACTGAACCTTAGATCTGACTCCAAGATCAACCAAGACTCTTGACCTTATTTTTTGTTGTTTGACCTCTAAGAGTCGAAGTACACATTCACCTTGAGAATCTCGTCTCCGTTCCCAAAACGCAATGACTGTTATCGCTGTCCTTATGGGATGTGTCTGCCACAAGTCCACTGAGGAGCTGATCTGAAGACCTGTGGTCATTCAGACATTTACAAGGAGTGTGTGTGCCATTTAGGTTAAGTTGAATGACACATACAGTTGATGGATAATATTGTTGTGTTGTTTTTGTCTTGTTTTTTCAGGCGATCAAATGCTGAAAGAGTGGAAGACTCAGTGATCTACAGCAGCGTCAGATGAGAGATCCACTCACACAGATATCAATAGAGAACACAGATTTATTGAATCAATGATTATTGGAGAATCATTTAGCTTTAATCTGTTGTTAAACTTTAACTATGCTTCTGTCCAGCTGTTTTATTTGTTTAATTTTTGTAATCTAGTATATAAATGCTTAATGCAAACACACGGATGCAAATAACTTGTATTGTCGGCTGATTAAGTATAATCATTAAGGCTGAGCATGTAAATTAACACGTTTTTTTCTCTTAAACCTTTATTAACAAAATAATTGTCATTGTGTATAATTATGATTAATTGTGCTGGACTGATTTAATCTCTTTTTTTACTTTGTTTTATGTTTAGGTTTATGTTTAAGCTGTTTTAATAAAAGTTATTTTAATCTACTTCTTAATTGTTTTGTTGTTTATTGTTCAGAGATCAAATGTAAATCATTGAGCTCTACCAGATGAGTTTAGTGCTGACCAAATTTGCTCATTTGACCAAAATGACAAGTGCCAAAGAAAATCTGCACTCAATAAATTATTAAATGAATCACAAAGAAGAAAAAAAAATCAGTTTTTGTTAAGGGGAGTAAGATTTTTGATCTTCTTTTAACATCAGCATATACATTAATCAACCCAGGCTCATTGCCCTGGCAGGCCAAGGTCTACATTTCTGGGAACAGTTTGTGCAGATTTACCAGAGGCCACTGAATATGATTTTTTATGATATTAAATTTCTCTTGTGGGGCGAGGCAGTGGCGTAGTAGGTAGTGCTGTCGCCTCACAGCAAGAAGGTCGCTGGTTCGATGCTCGGCTTAGTTGGCGTTTCTGTGTGGAGTTTGCATGTTCTCCCTGCCTTCGCGTGGGTTTTCTCCGGGTGCTCCGGTTTCCCCCACAGTCCAAAGACATGCGGTACAGGTGAATTGGGTAGGCTAAATTGTGTTTGTGTGTGTAAATGTGTGGATGTTTCCCAGAGATGGGTTGCGGCTGGAAGGGCATCCGCTGCGTAAAAATGTGCTGGATAAGTTGGCGGTTCATTCTGCTGTGGCGACCCCGGATTAATAAAGGGACTAAGCTGACAAGAAAATAAATGATGAATGAAATTTCTCTTGCGTGTCCTCTTCTCCTGTGAAGGAGATTATCCACTAGAGGGCGCCATATACACTTCAGCCGACCAGGCCAGCTTGCTCCCTCCCCTCTTCATCTCAGACTGCACTTCCATTGCATTTTTACCTACCGGACCTGAGCACGCTTACATCATCAATGATTCAACTATTCAGTTTAACAGGAAGAGAAGCGCTCTCACTCAGCACAGTGGACATTGCATTAGTCATATCATTTTGTATTATTGTTAGTCATGCAGTGACACGCAGTCAAACACTTAGCTGAACCGATCCACCACTTTTGATGCTCATAAACTATCATAAAAGTCCTTGTGCTGCAGGAATTAGAAAGTTTGCTAAAGTTGCAGCTGACGTGCAGTGAGGGGTTTGCGTCTTTAATAAACTATGACAGATTTGTGTTCATTGAAAAATTAAGAATGGTTAATAAATCTATATGTAGGAATGCCGGGTCTTCAGTTTCAGGCTCAGGCATGCTTTGCACTCACACTACAGTGAGCCCAAATAAATTGTGCTCTGGCACACCTCTTCCAACCAGGCCAGGACCGGCCAACTGAACCACACCTGAGCCCAATTCAGAGCACTCACACTTCTCAAACAAATTGAGAAACGCACCTGGGCCCAGTTTGGATAGCATAGTGTGAGTGCGCCCTTACTGTCGACTGACTGACACACCCACTTCCCAAACACAAAAGATAGTGTCTTAAAAAGCAATCCAACCCAAGAGCTATTTAGAAAAAGAAAGGCCATCACGGCTGTGTGATTACACCACATTTTCAGCATGTTGTTTATTTATTTATTTTTTATGTTTTAGCTTTATCTGGTTTCTGGAACCATTCTTGCCAGACAAAACCTTAATCATCATGGTCAATGCCACTTTGTGTTCCAAGTCTGTCGACGTATGCAGCAAGCTACTAAGCAAACTGGTAACACTGGAAAAGCCGTCCATATGGGGGTAGGCAGCTGGTAGTGTGAAAAGAAACAGAGGCTGTCAGCGGGGTCAAGCTAACTTATAGTGTTCATTTTAAAGATGATATGCAGCCAGACGTGCCGCTGGGTACATAATTTGGGCTCTCCAGAAATGTAGACATGGGTACACATCCACAATGAGCCTGTGCTGACATTAATGGCTAAATTAGGGATGTTTAGAGCCATCAAAAAGGCTGGTGATATTTGTGCTTCTCATCAATATTGAATACATCACCAGTGATAATGCTTCAGTAAATGTGTGTAGCTATTCATTATGTGTATAGCTGATTTAACTTCCTCAAGAGGCAATTTATCTAAATCATTTTGTATGTGGGCAAAAAGTTATGATCTAGTAGCATTTGTTCAAATTTTCTTGTGTTTTGTTTTTTTTTTTGTTTTGTTTTTTTCTAAAAAGTCAGGGTAAAGAGTTCAAGTAAAAACTAACCACATTTCCATTGTCAGGTCTAAAGTGAGTGAAGTACACTTAATAGTGCAGACTACACTAGTGGACCATAATTCAAATGAACAGTTTCCCAGATTTAGGTTAGATTAGGGATTTCCTGGAATGTTCTATTACTTTTGTAAGGCAAATGCGGAATTAGAAGTATAAATTAAACAGGCATTACATGCATTTAAAGTGCTACAATGCCCACATCACCCTATTTTGAGAAAAACTGTAAAAAACAATCTCCCTCTAAAGAAACTTGAAGTGAACATATTTCTAGCATATAGATTTTTATTTTACTTTTTGGTACTATTTTCGATGCAATTGTTATTATAGCAAAAAAAAAAAATAGCAGCCTATATTGAATATCAATATTTTGTTTGTATTGAATTTAGAAATTCCAGTATCTTGACAACACTATACCTCAGTTAATCACTCTGTGCAAATGAACATGTCTGTAGCTTTGTATCACATTGGACTTGCACTATAAAATAAATCTTATTTTCAAATTTGAAAAAAAATGCAAAAAATTACATTTTCAAAAAACAAACAGAAACTGCAAATCAGGAGGAGATCAGAGGTTCAAGATGTATGATATGGCTCATAACAGACTAGTAAATGAGAAGTGGGCTATGTATCAATGTTATTTTCCTTTTTGGTGTTACAAACACAAAGCTTCACAATTTATTGTTAATATAATGTCAATTCAAAAACCCTTTATTTATTATTAAACCAGTTATAATCCTATTATTAAGATTAGAGTAGATCACCTTTTGAAAATGGACCAATCCTGAACATCCCACACAAATGAAGATGACATTTTAGAGCTAATGTGACCTCTGGTTACAACTTTTCCTCTTGAGTCTGACCAGCAGATGTCTAGTGGTGTTTAGAAAAGATTTAATTCATTCAGAACATGTTTTTATCATGTATTGCAAAGATAATGCTGTAAAATGCTGAGTTAGTGAATCTGACCAGAAGCAGTGATTGAAACGGCCCAAGTCTTTGCAAGTTATATTGTTTTTTTTTTGTTTTTGTTTTTTTCTCCAGGATGTATTTTGATTACATGATTTCTCTTGCATTTTTAATGTCTCTGGGATTATTTTAGATCATATGCCTCTCAGTTCTTTTTATTAGGCAAGGCTTGTAAGAGTGAATGGTGTCATATATTGAAAGTCCAGCAGGAGGCGCCAGACAGACTGAAGAACAACAACTAACTCTTATAAGCAAGTTTTTGGCAAAATGTCAGACCAACCAGTAGTTCACAATGGTTGTTAACTACCTAAACACACGTATACTGAAGATTAAGTAGACTTGGTGTATTTACTAAATGACTTTAATTGTTGTTATTTTCTTAAAAACAACATTTTGCAGTGAGAAATTGTGTTTTTGTGTTTTCCCAGACTTTTAGAAGTAGTTCACATTAGTAAGACTGGCTGGACAATAACACCGTTCACAAAGAAATAATTAATTTTGGAAAGTTTCATATATGTCGTGTTGTTCACACAAGAAACTATTTCTGCCACTGTTAAAGTGTGCTAACCACAAAATTACGTCAAGTGTTGAAGGTAAAGTGTTTCTGTTCACGCACTCAGTCAATCAGTTTCTGTTGATGTGCTGCTCTTCAACACGGTAAGACAAACACACTGGTATTTGACTGATGATTAGTGTAGATGAAGCTCATATAACACATGATTTGTGACATGAGAAATATCTTGTGTTGATCTCAGTCATCAGTTGATTTACACACACTGATGTTGTGCATTAATAATCTGCAGATGTGTTAGTTGGCTAATGAGGGCTTTCACAAATGCACCCCTGGATGATCCTTTTATTCTTTGGTCTAGAGCACACAGTGTTAATTTCTGTCAAAAAAATATCTGAAATACTGATTCATCTTACCCCAGTACACGTTTCCACTGTGTAATGGTCCATCCCAGATGCATCTGAGCCCAGAGAAGTTGACGGCACTTGTTCAGATTAACAGAAAGAGGCTGCAGTGAGAGGCGGAGCCAGAAATCACCCATCCTGAGCTGTGTGGGCGGAGCCACAGGTGATTGACAGGGATCATCAGTGATGAGTCAGGGAATTGCTTTATAGTCTTAAAGTGTTTAATATTTCCTGCTTCTGTTATTCTGTCTTCTGTGTTCCTGTAAGTGATCAGTTTCATTAGTGACGGTCTCATATGTGTTTGTGCAAACCCTCACTCCACCAGCAGAGGTCTTCATCTCCTGATACTGATAGAAATGTTTATGTGGTTTTATCTTGTATTGTGCTGGATGTTATATTAATGTATTCTCTAGTTTTTTGTAATTTGTTTTCTTTAAGAGTTTCAGTGATTTAAACGCCTCTGGTCATGATTTTATTTCAATGGTGTGTAATGTGTATCTCTTTAATTTATTTTACCAGTACTTTGCCAGAGTTTTACAGCTTTTACCATGCTAATAAAGCCACCTGAGTAAGAATAATTGATGTTGTTGGCCTTCCTGACATTCATAAAGTGATTAAACTGTTAAACTCATCTGAGATTCTGCATGTGAAAGTCATATTTAAAGTGCATCTTTTATACATTATTCTGAACATTGATAAACACACTGATCAGCCAATGCCTTCCCTGCTGGACTGAAGACTCCACCCCCTTTCTGTCACATGACACAAATGAATTCCTGTAAGTTGTGCAAAACCTGAATCTACCAGCAGAGGTCTCCATCTCCTGCTGCTGATACTGTAGAAACACTGATGTGCATCAACTGAAGATCAACTTTTATCCTTTTATTTCTGCAGAAACACCAATAAGTGTGAAATAGACTTGAGTAAATTAACTTAACTTAATTAAAACACATAAAGTAAAAACACATTCATCTTTAGTCACTGGTAGGGTTTTTGCTGATGGAGGAACACTGATAGTTCTGCAACTGTGTGTAAAACAGTGTTAGCCACAGAAAGACTGTCAGTTTAAAGAAGAAGTGCATCTCTTTACACACTCAGTCCATCAGTCGCTGTTGATCCTCTGCTCTTCAACACGGTAAGACAAACACACTGGTATTTGACTGATGATTAGTGTAGATGAAGCTCATATAACACATGATTTGTGACATGAGAAATATCTTGTGTTGATCTCAGTCATCAGTTGATTCACACACACTGATGTTGTGCATTAATAATCTGCAGATGTGTAAAGATCTTCCTAACACTAAGAGCTGTTTAGGGTGATGTACATTTACTGTTGATGAGTGTAGAAGTGATGATTAATGCTGGATTCTAGATAGATTTGATGCTGATGTGGCTCAGAATGGCTCCTGCTCTTCATCTGATCTTTCTGCTCATCATTCACAGTGAGTCAATCTTACATTCACATCACTGCTTTATTTCTCTGCATTTACACACACTACACACAATCAGACATTATTCAGCAGGTTTCTGATCATCTTCTCTCTGATATAGGAAGTTAGGCTGTGCTAGAGGATCTGTTTTCTCAGAAGAGAGTCTTTAGTTAAAGTGTCACGGAACCAGCCAGTTTTAGCTGTTTTTTCACACCACTGGTTTCAGCTGTGATGCACTGAAGTGCTGACACAGGTCACACTTTATTTTGATGGCCCATGTGTTGAATTTAAGTTACATTGCCTCTACTTGCCAACTAAGGCCCCGTTTAAAACGCATAAGTTTTGCTACGGTTACGCCATCCATCCACACTACGCCGGAGTTCTCGAGCGCCGAAAACGGAGCTTTTTGGAAACGCTGGAGAGGCCGTTTTCATTCTAAAACGCTGCTGCTCCGTCTCAGTGTAGATGGGGAAAGACGGAGACATCTGAAAACGGAGGCGGGGCTGCCGACATTCGCCTATCTGATTGGGCCTTTTCCTCAATATTAAGTAGCCCACACACAGTTCAGTCCTCCATCCTCTTCTTATAAGTTCAGACTTCTCAAGTTTGATCAAGGCTGCAGTCTCTTCTTCTCAGTTTGATATGGAAAACAGACTATACCGAGGACACGGGTAAATCTTTTAAGGGAACAGTGTACTTTATAAATTCATTCACATCACCTTGGCTACGTTGTTTCACATTCACTTTCACGTTGTTTCATTAGTCACATTCAAATCAAGACTGAAAACACATCTGTTTAGCTGTGCCTTTACTGAATGAGCACTGTGCTTCGTCCGACAGATTGCACTATCATGTTTTTCTCTTCTTCTTCATTCTTTTATATCACATTTTACCTGCTTTTATGTTTTGTTTTGTTTTTACGCATTTTTATTATTTGTTTTTATTTTTATTTTACTTGTTTCTTTTATTACTGTTTATGTAAAGCACTTTGAATTGCCATTGTGTATGAAATGTGCTATATAAATAAACTTGCCTTTCCTTGCCTTGCCTTTCTCAACAATAAAATGTAAACATGATTTAAGGAACTGCCTATTTTCATTTTATTATTAGCAACTAAACAGACAGCAGAAATGTTGAGGCGTTGTGCTGCATGAGCGTCATCTTCACTGTGTGGATATTTATAACAAAACGGAGCCGATAACAACTGCCTCCTTTCAGTTTCAGTAAAAATACGAAACACACCCTCTCTTTTGCTGTATATCAGTTTTAATCATCGATAATGGCCATTATAAAAGTGTAACATACAATAAGTTTATACATTATAGGAAATAAAGGCAAGCGATTAGTCAATATACAGAATGTACATGGATTAATAACTTATCTTTGCGCTTAACCAAAACATGTTACCTGTGAACAAGTAATAGATTCCAATGACCAGGGAATATGTCGTTAGATAAAGACAACAACATGAATGAAATATCACGTTTAGCAAATATAGTGAGATTAGATCCAGCTGGAGATGCTTGATGAGAAGTCCGACTAGCAGAGCTCTCATCCGGGTATAAATGCTGCAGCGCTTGCCCGAGAGTGTGTGTGTGTGGTCAGGTGATGTGCGTTTTCAGCATTTTGGTGTGGACGGAGAGCAGTTCAGAAACGCTGGGTAAAACGTGAGTGTGGACGCGGATCGTTTTCATTCTAAAACGCTGTTTTAAAACTAAAACGCACTAGTGTAAACAGGGCCTAATTCTCATTAGATTACAAGTAGACTGTTAGACTGGGGTTAGTGTAAGTTGACATGTACTTGCAAAGTTTCTTATAGTCAGTCAAATGTCTGTTAAAGAAGCAGAATCAACATATATTAAGCAGACAGTCTACTAATGCTTAAATGGACCATCAAAATAAAGTGTTACCCTGACACAAATATAAATCTGAATAGGCAAAGTCAGGTAAACTGTACTGCTGATCTGCAAACAAAAACATGTGTGCAACATAAATATAATTTTGGAGATGTAAAATCAACAATATTTAGGAACAGAAGACTTTACAATAAAATAATAATGTACTAACATATAAACTACTGTATATTTACTTCATTATGAGATGAGGCTTGTGGTGATAACATGAGTTTTTATTATTGTCTAAACTAAACTTACCTCGGCTCAGATGGCGTTTCTGTGTGGAGTTTGCATGTTCTCCCTGCATTCGGATGGGTTTCCACTGGGTGCTCCGGTTTCCCCCACAGTCCAAAGACATGCAGTATAGGTGAATTGTGTAGGCTAAATTGTCCGTAGTGTATGAGTGTGTGTATGTGTGGATGTTTCCCACAGATGGGTTGCGGCAGGAAGGGCATCCACTGCATAAAATTGTGCTGGATAAGTTGGCGGTTCATTCCGCTGTGGCGACCCCAGATTGATAAAGGGACTAAGCCGACAAGAAAATGAATGAATGAATGACTAAACTAAACTTTAATGTTCTTTAATGTCATTTATTTATTATTCATCACAACATTAGTTGATAATAAAGAAACATGCTATTTACATGTTAGTAAATCATTATTTATTCATAATAATTAAATTTAACTTTTTTTTTATGCCCTGCTATTTTCTAATATTGTTTTTTTTTTTCTCGGCTGGTTTATTTTCTCTGTTCTCTGTTTATTTCTGTCCACCATCAAGACTGAAGTCATTCACACTGAGATCATTATTCATATTCACAACATCAGCCTAAAATATCATCTGTAATGAGTCCCTGTGTACAACTAGTAAACCAGCATGTGTCCCTAGTGTCTTATAGTCCAGTTTAACTGATAAAACTACATGTTAATCATGATTATTTCTGTGTTTCAGGGGTTTCTGCTGCTGAATGGAGTACGAAATACAATGCTACAGAAATCTGTGCCCTACAGAACTCAACAATGACAATCAGCTGCACTTTTACACACCCTGAGGGATTGCAGATCATGAGAGCCTTCTGGAACAAAAACGAGGTAAAACATGATGGAGAGCTTACAGATCTGTCTGAGGACCCTGAATACAGTCAGAGGCTTCAGTATCTGGGAGATAAACAGCACAACCGCACCGTCAGACTGAGTCATGTGACAAAGAAAGATGAACACGAGTATTATTTCAGAATTACTACTAATGTATCAGCTCAAAAATGGCTTGGTAAACCAGGAGTGCGTCTCTCTGTCACAGGTGACTCTCCTGAGGTTTCTCTCTTCTTGTGGTCATTATGTAGAATAATAATCAGTGTTTGAGAGCAGCACTAGATATAATGTGTGTGTTGTGTTCAGATCTTCAGCTGGAGTCTCCTGAGAGAGTGACAGAGGGAGATTCAGTCCGTCTGACATGTAAAAGCAGCTGTAAACTGACTGACACACCAACATTCATCTGGTACAGAAACTCACACACATTGACTAATATTGGAGATGAACTCAACATCAGGTCAGTCAGTAGAACAGAAGCAGGACACTACAGCTGTGGTGTGCAGGGACAAATGTACATCTCTCCTGCTGTTTATCTCGATGTCACATGTAAGTTTTTATCTGTTTTACCTTTTAGTGTTTACCTGTTTAAAACATACAGACTTACAATAAATATGAAAGCAGTCGAGCTGTAAAAGCTAAAATACCAAAAGTAAAAGCTAAACTTTACTTTCGCAATATTGCTACCAATTGGTGTGAAAGACGTGGTGTTGTGAATGCTTGTGAGTGTCATCACCTCAGTTTTGTCATTTTAAATGTGACCTTGTTTGAGATGTTTTTATGACAACTTGACATTAGCAAGATAACATAACGTCATAAATCAATCATAAACATTATTGCCATGAGGCCATTATAACTGTCATCAATATTTTCACAACACTTTACTATTGGAACTAAATGAACTTGTCATTAAAAGTTCTCAATAAAAGTACCAATACCCTGTCAAATAAGTTTATGACAGCATCATCAAATGGATTGTTCACCAAAATTTGAAAATTCATTTATTTATTATTTACCAATTGTTAAAGTTACATTTAAAGCTCGGAAATCGCACTTAAAACACATTGCAAATGCTTATTACAATTGTTAACCTCACAGAAAGAGTAAAATCCTCCAAATATTCTCTTCATTTACTGATCATACACTCAATAAGCATTTTTTTCCTATTTTAAAAAATATATATATATATATATATAAATATATATATATAAATATATATATATAAAAATATATATATAAAGATATATAAAAGCAAAAGACTGCCCCTTTAATATGCTGTATTTGGTACACATTTTAACTGATTTTTTATTTAATTTTAAATCTTGTTTCTCCTGCAGATGCTCCAGATACTCCTGTGATCTTCCTCAGTGGATCTGCTATAATAAAGGAGGGAGATTCAGTGACTCTGATGTGCATCAGTCACTCAAATCCTCCTGCTCTGAACTTCAGCTGGTTTGAGGAGAATCAAAGCTCAGCTGTTGGATCTGGACAGAGTTTCAGTGCAGTACAGAGTGGACGCTTCTACTGTGAGGCTCACAATCCACATGGAGCTCAGAGATCAGACGCCGTCACTGTCACTGGTGAAGCTTTTATCATCACACTCCTGTAACTTCATCAGTCTGGAGAGTTAATCATGATCTGCTTCATCTTTCAGTTTATCAAGGCACTGGGAGAAACATCATCATCATTATCACAGCAACATTTGGAGGATTATTCATCATCATCTTCATTATCCTGTTTGCAATGTGAGCACATCATATAAAACTGCAATAATAACTTGTATACTTTATTTACCTTAGATTTAAGTTAAATACATTTTCTTTTCTTTTGACAGTGTTTTTAAAAGGAAGAGCAGAAGATCTGCAGTGAAAGACACTGTGGTGAGATGATCTTCATTATTAACTGTGTTTACCTGCATGTTTCCTACAGCCGTGATGATCGTACAGAGATATTAAGAGTGCAGAGTAAAAACTGATTTACATTGAGCTCCTCAATCATTAATCCAGTTCAGTCTGGTTCAGGTACCATTTTCATGTCCTTGGCTGCTTTGTTTAAATCGCAAACCATTTATGCACCCATCAGTGTGCTGGTTTGAAAAGGAGGTGTGTTAAGGCGCATTATTGACATGTTGCTATTTTGAGGAAAATGAAATAAACCAAACCAATCACTGACTAAAAGCTGCTCTACAGTTAATGGTGCGGTTTGCTTTTATTTAAAGGGCACGTTAGAGATACGCAGGTCCAAAATGTTTCTTATTACACACAGAGGGATGCACAGCAGCACACAAACATCTTCAAATGTGAAAAATGAAAGGATTAAAATGCAAAAAAATATTATTGTCTACCTCCTACCACACATACTTTACCTCAGGGGGCTTTAGTGAATCCGACTCATTCTGTAGATGGTCTTTAACGTTGCCTGTGTAGTGAAGTACTCAGCTTTTCTGCTTACAAAATCCACCAGTGTAAATAGCAAATCTGTCATGGGGCAACCACAGCTTGCTCCTAAAGTGAATGGCAGATGAGACTCCAACTGGCTTAATGCAATTTACGTCCAACAACCCTTTTTTTTACATCCAACAACCCCATTCACTGTGTGCACTAATTGTTTATCCTGTCCTTAAAATGAAGAGATCCTGTGTCGTGCACTTTAGACCACAAGTTTAGATGATTAAAATAGAGCCACAATGTCCTTCTCTCTGTGCAGATCTCAGACACATATGCAGGTCTGAATCTCCAGTCCGCGACCTCTAACCTGTACGACACACTCACAGTAAGTGAAAGTCAAAGTCAGACAATGATCACTGATGATCAGATGATTGATGATCTCTCGCTGTCTTTCACACAGACCGTTCACCACAGACCTGCTGAAAACTCCTGCTCCACTCTTGATCCTCAGAGCTCTTCTGAACATCACAATCCACCAGTAAGAGACAATATCAGCCATAAACCCTCTCAGCAGCAGTTTGATTATTGGATGAGCCTCGTCAAAGAGTTTAATGTGGTTGAGCTTCAGTCTTTCTTCATCTTATTGTCTGTTCAGATCAACAGGAAGATGCTGCAGTGAGAGGCGGAGCCAGAAATAACCAATCCTGAGCTGTGTGGGCGGAGCCACAGGTGATTGACAGGGATCATCAGTGATGAGTCAGTGAATTGCTTTATAGTCTTAAAGTGTTTAATATTTCCAGCTTCTGTTATTCTGTCTTCTGTGTTCCTGTAAGTGATCAGTTTTATTAGTGACGGTCTCATATGTGTTTGTGCAAACCCTCACTCCACCAGCAGAGGTCTTCATCTCCTGCTACTGATAGAAATGTTTATGTGGTTTTATCTTGTATTGAGCTTGAAGTTTTATAAACATGTTCGTTTATTTTTTTCTGTATAGAGTTTCAGTGACTTAAACACCTCTGGTCATGATTTTATTTTTGATTTCTCTGTATTGTATTGCTATCAGTGCTTTGCCACAGTATTTAATCCTTCACCCTGCTAATAAAGCCACCTGAGTATGAATAACTGACGTTGTCGGCCTCCTGACATTCATAAAGTGATTAAACTGTTAAACTCATCTGAGATTCTGCATGTGAAAGTCATATTTAAAGTGCATCTTTTATACATTATTCTGCACATTAGTAAACACACTGATCAGCCAATGCCATCACTGCTGGACTGGAGACTCCACCCCCTTTCTGTCACATGACACAAATGAATTCCTGTAAGTTGTGCAAAGCCTGAATCTACCAGCAGAGGTCTCCATCTCCTGCTGCTGATACTGTAGAAACACTGATGTGCATCAACTGAAGATCAACTTTTATCCTTTTACGTCTGCAGAAACGTTAATAAGTGTGAAATAGAGAGTCTCGCTTCAGTTCTGCAGTCTTTAAATTAACTTCAAGTAAAAACGCTTTTCTTTAGTCACTGGTAGGGTTTTTGCTGATGGAGGAACACTGATAGTTCTGCAATTATGTGTAAATTAGTGTTAGCCACAGAAAGTCTGTCATTTAAAGAAGAAGTGCATCTCTTTACACACTCAGTCCATCAGTCGCTGTTGATCGGCTGCTCTTCAACACGGTAAGACAAACACACTGGTATTTGACTGATGATTAGTGTAGATGAAGCTCATATAACACATGATTTGTGACATGAGAAATATCTTGTGTTGATCTCAGTCATCAGTTGATTTACACACACTGATGTTGTGCATTAATAATCTGCAGATGTGTAAAGATCTTCCTAACACTAAGAGCTGTTTAGGGTGATGTACATTTACTGTTGATGAGTGTAGAAGTGATGATTAATGCTGGATTCTAGATAGATTTGATGCTGATGTGGCTCAGAATGGCTCCTGCTCTTCATCTGATCTTTCTGCTCATCATTCACAGTGAGTCAATCTTACATTCACATCACTGCTTTATTTCTCTGCATTTACACACACCACACAATCAGACATTATCAGCCATTTTCTAATGATCTGCTGATCATCTTCTCTCTAATATAGGAAGTTAGGCTGTGCTGGAGAATCTGTTTTCTCAGTAGAGAGTCTTTAGTTAAAGTGTCATGAAACCCTCCAGTTTTAGCAGTTTTTCACACCACTGGTTTCAGCTGTGATGCACTGAAGTGCTGACACAAGTCACACTTTATTTTAATGATCTGTTTGTTGAATTTAAGTTACATTGCATCTACATGCCAACTACTTCTCATTAGATTATATGTGGACTGTTAGATTGGGGTTAGTGTAAGTCTGGGGGGGCGCCAGAGCATGTCAGGGGAGGCGCGGGAAAAAATATTATATAATAAAAATATAATTATTAAGTTTAATTATTATATGTATTTTTTATTATATTTAAACGTTTTAATTAAACAAAGCAAAAAAAATTATACGTCAAAAATAAGAAAACCTTTTTTTACCCAGAAGGCCATAGCTGTGAATTCGCTTCTGTTTGGCAAGCCCGCTAATACAGGTATATGCCTGCTAATACAATGGGTCGGTTTCTGAGACCCACCCCGATTCAAAGCCTTCAAGTTCAGGGCTTAAACCCAAAAGACGACGATATGAGGATCAGTATTTCAGTTTAGGATTTACGTGGACAGGACCAGCTGATGATCCACGACCTTTATGTGTGGTTTGTCAAGATATTTTGGCTAATGACAGCATGAGACCCGCTAAACTTCGACTGTTTTGACTGGGATGGACAGTTCTTGGATCTGTTCTATTCATATTGAACCATCATCCTAGTTTTAAAAACGATATATTAAAATACTTGTTATTACTCTGTAAATAATTGCACTTTCATGCAAATGATGATAAAAGTGAGTTAACAGTCTGACATCTGTCTGTGTCTTTATATATACTGTATATATTTATATATGTGTGTGTGTGTGTGTGTATATGTATGTGTGTGTGTGTGTGTATATATATATATATATATATATATGTGTGTGTGTTTGTGTGTGTGTGTGTGTGTGTGTATGTATGTGTGTGTGTGTGTGTGTGTGTGTGTGTGTGTGTGTGTGTGTGTGTGTGTGTGTGTGTGTGTGCGTGTGCGTGCGTGCGTGTTTGGGAGGAGGGGGGCGCCAATGGATAAGTTGTGTCAAAAGGGAGGCCCACTGTCTTAGACTTTGAAAAACCTTGGTGTAAGTTAACATGTACCTGCAAAGTTCTTTATAGTCAGTTAAATGTCTGTTGAGGGAGCAGTATCAGTAGATATTAAGCAGTCTACTATTGCTTAACTGGACCATCAAAATATAATGTTACCCAGACACAAATATCCATCTGAAGACGGAAATTCACTGAATTTCTTTTCATGAACTTTACCACATTAACCCTTTATTTTGATGATCCATTTGACTATTAGTAGACTGTCTGCTTAATATCTGCTTATACTGCTCCTTCAACAGACATTTAACTGACTATATGAAACTCTGCCGGTACATTTCAGCTTACCCCAACCCTAACAGTGGACTTATAATCTACGAAATGAGAATTAGTTGGCATGTAGATGCAATGCAACTTAAATTCAAAAAACCGACCATCAAAATAAAGTGTGACCTGTACTACTGACCTCCAAACACAAAAATAATGCTTCAGCTCACAACATAATTGTGTGCAACATAAACATAATTTTGAAGATGTAAAATCAACAATATTTAGGAACAGAACAATTTACAGTAACAAATAATAATGTACGAACCTGTAAACTACATTTGACTTCATTATGAACTAATGATGTGTTAAAGGGTTTGGTAATAACATGAGTTTTCATTATTGGCTGAACTAAACTTTAATATTTTTTCTCATTCAGCAGGATTCATTTACCTTAATCTGGAGTGTTCATTAATTAACAAACATACTAACAAGTCATTCATTTATTATTCATCACACTATTAGTTGATAATAAAGAAACATGCTATTTACATGTCAGTACATCATTATTTATTAACTTTTTTTGCCATTATTGTTTTTTTTCTCAGCTCTCTCTCTCTGTTTATTTCTGTCCTCCATCAAGACTGAAGTCATTCACACTGAGATCATTATTCATATTCACAACATCAGCCTAAAATATCATCTGTAATGAGTCCCTGTGTACAACTAGTAAAACAGCATGTGTTCCTATAGTGTCTTATAGTCCAGTTTAACTGATAAAACTACATTTGAATCATGATTATTTCTGTGTTTCAGGGGTTTCTGCTGCTGATTGGGGTATGAAATACAATGCTACAGAAATATGTGCACTACAGAACTCAACAATGACAATCAGCTGCACTTTTATATACCCTGATGGATTGCAGATAAAGAGAGCCTTCTGGAACAAAAACGACGTGAAACATGATGGAGAGCTTGCAGATCTGTCTGAGGACCCTGAATACAGTCAGAGGCTTCAGTATCTGGGAGATAAACAGCACAACCGCACTGTCAGACTGAGTCATGTGACAAAGAAAGATGAACATGACTATTATTTCAGAATCATTACTGATGTAACAAAGGAAAAATGGATTGGCATTCCAGGAGTGCGTCTCTCTGTCACAGGTGACTCTCCTGAGGTTTCTCTCTTCTTGTGGTCATTATGTAGAATAATAATCAGTGTATGAGAGCAGCACTAGATATAATGTGTGTGTTGTGTTCAGATCTTCAGCTGAAGTCTCCTGGGAGTGTAAAAGAGCGAGATTCAGTCCGTCTGACATGTAGAAGCAGCTGTGAACTGACTGACACACCAACATTCATCTGGTACAGAAACTCACACACATTGACTAATATTGGAGATGAACTCAACATCAGGTCAGTCAGTAGAACAGACGCAGGACACTACAGCTGTGGTGTGCAGGGACAAACGTACATCTCTCCTGCTGTTTATCTCAATGTCACATGTAAGTTTTTATCTGTTTTACCTTTTAGCATTCACCTGTTTAAAGCATTCAGAATTAATACATTTGAAAGTAGTCGATCTGTAAAAGCTAAAATACTCACTTTCGCAATAGTGCTACCCATTGGTGTGAAAAACGTGGTGTCGTGAATGCTTGTGAGTGTCATTACCTCAGTTTTGTCATTTTAAATGTGACATTGTTTGAGATGTTTTTAGGACAACTTGACATTAGCAAGATAACATAACGTCATAAATTGATCATAAACATTATTGCCATGAGGCCATTATAACTGTCATCAATACTTCTCATTACTTTTCTACTGGAACTGAATGATTTTGTCATTAAAAGTTTTCAATAAAAGTATTAAAACCCTCTTAAATAATTATATGACAGCATCATTAAAGGGATAGTTCACTCAACAATTGCAAATGCTCATTACAATTTGCTTAGAATAATAAGGTTCTATCTGATATTGTTTGTCAAAATTGAGTTATTAACATATTCTTATTAAATGACAACTGATTTACATTATGGGACTTTTTTATGAGCTGTTTACATTTTTAAGACTTTTTATTTAAAAAAACAAAAACAAATGTTACACACATACTATTGGCTATGGATTGCAAAAGAAGTTGAAGCTCAATATCTCAAAATCATTCAGAACGCAGACAGAACCTTATAACTCCAAGATTACGAATTGTTAACACAAATCTGCTTTAAAATCCTCAAAATTCTCCTCATTTACTGATCACACACTCAGTATGCAAAGTTGACTTATTTTTAAACAAGGAAATACAATATAATAACAACCAACTGCCTCTTTAATATGCTGTATTTGGTACACATTTTAAACTGATGTTCATTTTTAATTTTAAAATCTTATTTTTACGTTTCTCCTGCAGATGCTCCAGATACTCCTGTGATCTCCATCAGTGGATCTGCTGTAATAAAGGAAAATGATTCAGTGACTCTGAACTGCAGCAGTGACTCAAACCCTCCTGCAGAAATCAGCTGGTTTAAAGCAAATACATATCTGAGTTCTGGAAGAATCTTCAGCATCTCCAAGATCAGCTTTAATGACAGTGGAGAATACAAGTGTAGAGCCACAAATGAACATGGAGAGAAATACTCTGATCCTGTGACTTTAGATGTTCAGTGTGAGTAAATGATGCTTCAGTAACTGATATATTAAATCCTCCTAAAGGTGCACCAGTGACAGTGACACTTCTGTCACTGGTGAAGCTTTTATCATCACACTCCTGTAACTTCATCAGTCTGGAGAGTTAATCATGATCTGCTTCATCTTTCAGTTCATCAACATGCTGAGAGAAACATCATCATCCTCACAGCGACATCAGGAGGATTATTCATCATCATCTTCTTCTTCATCATCATCCTGTGTATAATGTGAGTTCAATAAAAATGCTATGTTTTTAGAGTTTAAAAAATCTGGTGTAGTTAAATATGCTAATTCATGACTTTTTATTATTAAAAAAGCATATTTTAATTGTATGTGTTTATTATTAGCGTGATTCATCCTCTATTAATGTGTGTTATTAAAACAGAAAGAAACGAAGGAGTGTAAAATCTGAAGGTCTCACAGTGACGCAGGTAAATCACACAAATACAACCTTAAACTCAAACGCATGTTTTACTTAGTGTGATTAAAATCTCTGAAATATTTAAGATTTTACCTTCATTTAAAGTCATCATCATGTTCATCACATCTGCTGTGTGATTCAGTCTGAATTAATCAAATATTTCATCAAAACAATTCAGAATCTTTAAACATGAAATCCAACAGCTGATCAGTTCCTCTCTGCAGTGTTTCTCCAGCGCCCCCAGGTGGTGTGATGCAGGAAGACAAAAAACATTATTGATATATGATTTATTATATCAGATATCCTTTTTTGTAGGTTTAATCTCTGCATAATCATCAGCACATTTACATCAACAAGCTACTTTTTACATTGTTAAATCTTTCCCGAATGAAAACTGCACTCTCCTCTGGATGAAAACCAAATGCTTTGTATTAAAGTCTGATTTTGTTGTGTTTCAGAATGATCTGCATTCTGCTCCTGGATCAGCGGGTGATGCTCTGTATGCCAGTGTGAATCCCAAAAAAGGAAGAGCTGCTGAATGCAGAGATGCTGAGGAGATCCAGTACGCCACTGTCCAATTTCACAGAGACACACAGATGAAGAGAGATGAAGAAGAGGAGCAGCGTCAGTGTGACAACACACCAGTTCAGCAGCCTGATCAAGACCACAGGTGAGGAGAAACTGCTGGACCTCCAACAACTGCACTAAACACAAGCTGTTGCAACATAATTCTGTGCACATTGGATCATGTTTGGAGCGTGCAAAACCACTTTGACAAAATAGCAAACTCAGTTTAAGGTTTTTGTGGTTCCTTTCATACACATGCAACATCAGGCTCAACTCACTTGCTCAACACTAAACCAGTGTTGCACATTAGCAAACATCTGATTGGCTGATTTTCTGTTAACCTCTAACAATGGTTTTATGTTGAGCAAGAAAGCTTGACAACCAACATTTCTTGCATTACAGACTGCTGAAGACAGTCAAATTATTAATTTTAAAGATCACTTGTTGGATTTTAATAACTGACTATAATTAAACTTTACGAATTGACTACTTTGTATATCGTTATTGTTTTCAGTCATTTATTATTGTCACTTTGTCACCTTCTCTTAAAATGTTGTGTAGTTATTTAATGTATTATCTTTTCTCTTAAATCCTCATGTTGATCCTGGAACTTCATGTCTGTTCTAAAACGCAATCCATACCTATTCCCTATCCCTAAACCTAACCCTCACTGTATATTATTCCCAAATAATACTGATTAATACAGTGTTTCTCATTCACAGTCCTGGCACCTTTCTTTTTTTTTACATCAGACGATTGTTCTAGTTCAAGGCAACTCTAGGGAAAGCCTAGGCCAGTGAAGAGATCCTTACAGTAATCTACCCTGCTGCTGATAAAACCATGAGCAAGTTTCTCTAAGTCCTCAATGAAAACAAAAGCATCTAATTCTTGCAATGGTTTAGAGATAATAGTATGCTGATTTAGTTACTGCTTTGACATACTGAAACTTACATCAGACTCCAGAATCACACCAAGATTCTTGACCTTATTTGTTGTTGTTTGACCCCTAGCGCAAAGGTACTTTAAGAACCTCATCTCTGTTCCCAGATACAATGGCTTCAGTTTTCTCTTTCTGTTTAAGGGTGCTTTACACCTGTGAATCGATTCAGTTGTTCTGAAACAGGGATTAAAATTGTTACATTGTTGTTCTTTATTCTTGGTGCGGTTCACTTTCACACTGCAAAGTTTCTCAATGGACCAAAAGTCATATAGCTTTTTCACTACAATCAATCTACTCCAAAGTTCATTTTAATCGAGCCAAGACCACCTCATTTAAGTGATCTTGGAGCGATTGTTTTGATTGCTGGTTTCTCATATGCCAAACGAACCGTGCTAACTGGGCAAACGAGACAGGTTCTGAAACAAAAGTCTAGGTGTGAAAGCACCCTAGCTGAAGAAAGTCTTTTTCATTCATCAATGCATTGGCAGAGGGTGTCAATGGGCTGACATTAGGCAATAAGGCTAATGTCATGGGTGTCCAACTGTGTGTGAGAGTTTAGTTTCATCATCTTCAGCTTAACCTCACGAAAACAGAATGCTTGAAGTTTCTGCCAACCCGACTCTACATCATAACGTTTCTATCCAGATGGACGGGGCAACCATTACTGCATCCAAAATAGTAAAAAACCTTGGAGTAACGATTGATGACCAACTAAACTTCTCTATTCACATTTCTAGAACTGCTCGATCGTGCAGATTTGCACTCTATAACATCAGAAGGGTTCGACCCTTCCTATCTGAACATGCAGCTCAACTCCTTGTTCAAGCTCTTGTTCTCTCCAGACTGGACTATCGCAACTCTCTACTAGCCGGGCTCTCAGCTAACTCTATCAAGCCTCTTCAACTGCTCCAGAATGCAGCAGCACGAGTGGTCTTTAATGAACCTAAAAGAGCACATGTCACTCCGCTGCTCATCCGTTTGCACTGGCTGCCTGTTGCTGCTCGCATCAAATTCAAAGCTCTGATGTTTGCTTACAAAGCGATTGCTGGCTTTGCTCCTTCTTATCTGCTCTCACTTCTGCAGATGTATGTGCCCTCCAGAAACTTGCATTCTGTGAATGAACGTCGCCTCGTGGTTCCATCCCAAAGAGGGAAGAAATCACTTTCCCGAACTCTTGCATTCAATCTACCCAGTTGGTGAAATGAACTCCCTAACTGCATCAGAACGGCAGAGTCACTCGCTGTCTTCAAGATACGACTAAAAACTCAACTATTTAGTCTCCACTTTCCTTCCTAATCTGCAATTCCTCACATTCCTTACTACACAAAAAAATAAATAAATAAAAATAAATAAAAAAATTACTAATGTTTTGCTTCTTACACTTTCTTTACACACCAAAAACTTGCCTACAGCACTTATTCATTGTTGCTCTTATAGTTGTGTAAATTGCTTCCTTGTCCTCATTTGTAAGTCGCTTTGGATAAAA